TTATTGATTTCAGAGAGAGGAAGGGAGAGGGTGAGAGGGAGATAGAAACATCAATGATGAGAGAGCCATCATTGATCGGCTGCTTCCTGCACGCTCCCTATTGGGGGTTGAGCCCTCAATCCGGGCATGTGCCCTGACCAAGAATCCAACTGCAATCTCCTGGATCATGGATCGATGCTCATCTGCTGAGCCACACCGGCCAGGCCCCTTTTGCCATTTTATCATCAATCTCCTTCCCTTACTCCCAACCCCTATCAACCATTAATCTGTTTCTGTCCCTATAGTCTCACCTTTTCAAGAATGTCATATAGATGAAATCACATAGTCTACTACCTTTAGATTCTGGCTTCTTTCACTTAGCACAATTATTCTGGGATTTATTCATGTTGCTGCATGTATCAGTAATTCATTTCTTTTTGTTGCTGAGTAATAGTCCACTGTATGGAGTAACAGAATTTGCTCACCCATTCTCCTATAGATGGACACTTAGATTGTTTCCTGTTTTTAGTGACTGTGACTGTGAATAAAGATGCTATAAACATTTGCAGACAGGTTTTTGTGGGGATATGTGTCAGTATTTCTCTTCGGGAAATACTTAAGAGTGAGATTACTAGGTCTTATTGTAAAAGAATGTTTAATTTTAGAAGCAACTGCAAAACTGTTTTCCAAGATAGCTTGCTTTCCATATTGCATTTCTACCAGCAACATCTGAGAGTTCCAAATGTTCCACGTCTTTGCCACATTTATTATTTTAATTTAACCATTTTAAAAGATGTATCAAGTGGTACCTCATTGTGGTTTTGAATTTTATTACTTTCAATCTCAAGTCAAATACAGGGTGGGGCAAAAGTAGGTTTACAGTTGTGAGTACATGAAACACAGGTTATTCTTGTATTATTATTTATTGCATTACAGTATTTCCCATACAAACAACTGTAAACCTAATTTTGCCCTCACCCTGTACTATTAAAGCCAATGAGTCAAGGCTAGAGATGTAGAGAATACTGCTATTTATACCAAAAAAATGTTTCTCAGTTGTAATTGTGGGTACCTGAAAGAAGCACTTAAAGTGCTAAACAAATTTGAATCACTAAATTTTAAAAAGCATATCTTTTCTTATTTTTTTATTATTAAGAATGACTACTCTCTTCTCCCATAAAAATAACAGCCAGTTTTATAGCACGTAAAAATTAAAGCAATATTTATTGAACCCATACTCTCTACAAGGGCTATATATACAAATCACAACTGGTCTTGTTCCCAATATCCACTTTTCTCTTTGTTAGTGACAGACCTGCTGATCTACCAAAGTACATGGCTAACTGGCATAAAGATTATATTTTCAGTCTCCTTGCAACCAGCTGTGGCTACATGTTGTAGAAGTGTCATGTGGCAACTTCTAGGAACCTATTTTAAATGACAGTCGGCATGTGCGCTTTGTTTCCTTTCTACTTCGCCCCTTCCTCCTACCTCATGGCCAGAGCTAAAGTCAGCACCTTAGCTCATCAGTGAACTTGAACAGCAAGGTCATGCACCGAGGAGCAGTAAGATAGAAGCTGCTGAGTTCCTGAGAATTTTGTGGACCACACCAGCCCTGGACCTCCTACCTCTGGACTTTTATATGAGAGAAATAAATTCCTAACTTGTGCTGGATGGAACCATTGCCCAGAATTCTCCACCTCCGCAGAAACACAGCTATCCAGGCAGCCAGTCCCCCTGCGCCAAGCCAGCTCTGGCTTCTCATTTCAGTTAAGGTTGACTAGGTGGCTCGGCCAATCGCATTTTCTGTTTCTCTCCCTGGTACTTTATTCTTTGTCCCATGAAAGCGTCCTGTCTTCACCCCATTTTGCAGTTCTCCGAATGGGGGGCTTCTGCTTCATGGAGCATTCAAGTTTGTTTGCATCACCTAAATTGTTTCCTTTTGTCATTTTAAACAACCAGAAGCACACAGGTTATATCACCTCACCATATTATACTGAGTGCCACAATGTGCTGCTTTAATAAAAAAAAATAATTCATACAAGTCACTAAATAGTTATTTTGTGCCAGACACATAAAACCACTTTTACATGCATTGTTTTATTTTTTATTTATTTACTTTTAACCCTCACCTGAGGATACTTTTCCCAATGCTTTTCAGAGAGAGTGGGAACCATGGATGTGAGAGACACACCGATTGGTTGCCTCCCGCTCCAGGGCCCACGGGGGTGGGGACTGAGCCTAGTGGGGCCAGGGAGTGAGTCTGCAACCGAGGCTGGGGATTGCACCTGCAACCGAGGTATGTGCCCTTCGGAGTCGAACCCGGGACCCTTCAGTCCACCCGCCAATGCTCTAACTACTGAGCCAGACAGACTAGGGCTCCAAGCATTGGGAACGCCCTATCCCCTCCCTACTTGTAGGGGGTAGCCGTGCTTTTTCCTAACATTCATTCCCCCCTTTTGGGCAAAGGCACCTGAGCCTCCGTGGGGGACCCACGTTTCTCTTGTATTTACTCCTATGGTTTTTCTGATGCTGGCTTCAGACTCTGGTTCCTGGGCCAGGCATTTGAAATCCTGGTGGTGGCGTCCCCAGATTTCTGGTGCTGCCCTGTCTTGCTTTAGCAAGATGTGAGGTTCCTAAATTTTAGCACTTACAAGAACCACCTGGAGAGCTTGTCAAAACAAAGGTTCCTCAGCCCCAACCAAGAGAGATTCTGATTAGCTCGGGCTCACAATTTCCATTTCTAAAGCTCCCAGCTGATGTGGTGCTGCTGGCCCTGGGAGATGAAGTTCGTTTAAAATACAAGTTCTGGCCCCTCACCTGGACCTACTGACTCAGACTCTGAAGGCAAGACCCAGAAATCTTGAATTGTAATAAAATCTCCAAATGATTTTTATGCATGCCAAAATTTGAGACCCACTGTTTTAAGTGCTTCGGGACTCTGACTTCGTATTAGAATCACTTGGGGAGCTTTTTAAAAATATTCAGAAGCCCAGGCACCTCCCTTAGATTCTCACTGGGTTTTCTGAAAGATCTCAATGGAGACAAATTTGTAGTCAAAGATTAACGAAGGCTGCTCTGAATCATAATGTTCTTAGAAGGAAGATAGATAGGGCCCAGGTATGTGCCTGCAGAAATTGGCAATGGAGCGGGGGTGGAGGGGGTTGGGGTAGGGCAAATGGAGGTAAGGGAGCACACACTTTCTTAGATCATTAAGCAGCCTTCTGAAATACGAGTATTAATGGCTGATACTATTCCATTATAATCTGTAGATAATTTATTGAACATGTACTAAATGCCAGACACTATCTTATTTACAATAAACCCTATTTTGCCCCTGAGAAAACTGAGGCTGAGAGAAGCCCCAGTTGATTATTTGGACCTAATATAAGGGTAGACTCACTGGTTGAGCCTAAAAAAAAGAGCACTTCCTACACTCTTTGCTCCACCACAGCAAGAGAGAAAACCAGTACAATGAATCTAGGGAACAGAAGTGAAAAAGCAGATCTCTGGATAAAGGCAAGAAGAGCCTGGGTGATAGCTGAGCAACATGCTCAGCAGAAAATCTTTCGACATTGGATAGAAGACTCCAGGATTATCTGCACAGGTAAGAAATGATCTACTATTATCATATGGAAAATTATACTATGAAGTTGTTTACAGTTATTGGAATGTGGCAAGATGGAGTAAGATGCTAAAATAAGGCCATTATGAACTTTCAGAATAACAAAAAAGTAGTATAAGAAAGTCAATCATAGCATACTTAGTTCAGCGGCTTATAGTCCTAATAAAAATACTGAATTTAGGATGTATAAAGACTGAAATACAGGGTGTCCCAAAAAATGTATGCACACTTTGAATGATTATAAAGTCAGCGTTTATTAATGTACAGTTCATTTTCAAAATTTAAAAGAATCTACAGAAATGAATATTTTTGTCAATGTGTTTTCAAACTGATGGCCTTCTGGTCCAGGCACTGCTGATAATGTGAAGCAGTGGAGTCACGAACATCAGGAATCTTTTCGTTCGGTGTTTGTACGCATCAGTTCATTGACTGTTGCCAGTTTTGTACCGTAAATTTTATCTTTTATGAATCCCCATAAAAAAAGTCTAGTGGATAAATTGTCTTTGTTCAAAGCTTAGTCTGGCTTCACCCACTATTTCAAGTCAATTAAACCTGAAAAGGAGTGAAAATTGAGTTATCAGCTGTTAAAGTGTGTATACATTTTTGGGGGGATACCCCCATGTTCCAAAAAAATGTGTACACATTTCTTTTATTATTGTTTTTTAATCTTCACCTGAGGACATTTTCCCCATTGCTTTTCAGAGAGAGTGGGAGAAACATGAATATGAGACAGGTCAATTGTTCGCCTCCCGCACGCACCCCGACTGGGGCTGGGGCCTAAAAATGAAGTACATGCACTTGGCTGGAATCCAAGCCCGGACCCTTCAGTCTGCAGGCCGACGCCCTAACCACTTAGCCAAGCCGGCTACGGCCCTATACACATTTTGAATAATTATGAAAGCAGTGTTTGTCCTTCAACTGCATTTTCAAATTTCCAGTAGCATTTTAGGGTGCATTTCCTTTGTTCAAAGTTTAGTCTGGCTGGAAAGAAACATCAATTGAGCTTTCAGCTGTTAGAGGTATATACATGTCTTTGGAACACACTGTATTACTATTTGGAAAAACGGGGTAATAATATAAGTAAACAAAACATTCCCTTTTCTAGTAAAGTCAGTAATGGATGGATCAGAAGGGAGCAGCATATTCATACTATTTGGAGATATAAAGGATATTCTATAACCTCTACATGAGTTGAAATAAGACGTTCCCTCTGTGAATGTGAAAGAGGGACTACTTTTTTGGTTGCAAGCCTTTGACACTATTTGATTGTTTTAATTATTTGCATATAACATTGTGGGGTGAGGGGTGATGGTTGAGACAGAAAGAGACAATAGTTTTATATCAATGAATAACTTCCAAAATCAGAATAAGAAGAGTGAACACTGTCACACCTAAACCCATTCACTGTTTTGTTTTTTATTTATAAATTATTGTAGGTAAAGGCTTATGGATCAATACTCATTTACAAAAATAAGTTTAATTGTTGTGTGTGGTTTTTTAAAATCCTAAGTACTTTCACAGTTTTAGAAAGAAGTTTATTTTTCACACTTGAATGTCTTTCAAAGTATCCACAGGATTCCTTAGCCTTCTGCACTCTCCTTTTCGGAAAGGACTTTCGAGGTTGCTCTGTTCCGGATTCTTTTTCTTTTTCTTTTGTTTTCAGAGCCCGCTGGTTTTGTGTCCTGTGCCTTTTTCTTTTTCTTCAAACAGCTAAGAGGATTGGGGCCACTTATTTTCTTGTGCTTTTTTCTTCTTCTCTGTCCAGGGCTTTTAACTAAACCCTGTTCTTCTTTGAGTTGCTTGATACTTTGCTTCTCATGAACTGAAACAAGTTGGCCTGACTCTATTGCTTTAACAAAGGCAATTGTTTTGGGAGAAGGTTTGTCCAAGACAATAGTGTTCTGAATAATAAACATGAGAGGAATTCCAGGCCTTTTCCTTACTTTCAGAGACAAATTCTGATCCTATTAAAGAGAAAAACAGAATTAGTTCAAGTGTGCCAGTTAAATGAGATGCCTTATATAGGTTTCTAATAACTTTAAGAGGATTATATTAAAAATAAGAGGTCACAGCCCTGCTGACATGGCTCAGTGGTTGAGCATTGACCTAGGATCTAGGAGATTGAGGTTCGATTCCCAGTCAGGGCACATGCCAGGGTTGCAGGCTCGATCCCCGGTCGGGGGCGTGCAGGAGGCAGCAGATCAATGACTCTCTCATCACTGATGTTTTTCTCTCTCTCTCTCCCTTGTTCTTTCTGAAGTCAATAAGGACATATTAAAAAAATAAAAGAGATTACAGGATTATTTTTCAAATTAGCATGTTTCACTAGTGGTAGTACAGTACATTTTATGATAAAGGAAGAGAAACAAAAATTGAACACAAATAGTTAAATAGCAAATGTCGTGAACTGGATTTATCAATATCCTAGGACAGCGATTTTCAACCTTTTTCATCTCATGGCACACGTAAACTAATTACTAAAATTCTGTAGCAAACCACAAAATATATTTTTGCCTATCTAACAAAAAAATAGGTATAATTTTTATTTACAAAAAATAATAATAGTAATTACCTACCCTTTTTGCTCCAAAGTTGACTTAAAAAAAAAAAAAAATCATGTGCCTATACTTCATATATAAGGATTTCTGGTACCAAGAATTAACCAATCAGACACAACCTTATTATGCAATGTGACCAATAAGATGCAACTCTATTAATGACCTACACATTTAAGGTTCAGGACAGAGCACTCATACCAGATGGCTATCGTGTTGGCTACTGTCATTTTTGACAATCTAAGGGAAAAGTGGTCAGTGCCCCTGATTAGTTAGGTATTGCATGTTTGAAAAATTATTGCAGCACACTGGTGAAAATTGCTGTTCTAGGACCATGGATCACAAACTAATGCAAAGGTAAAGATGTCAGGTGGTGTTCCTTGCCTTTGCTCTGTGACCATGCTCCAGAAAGGGTCAAGAATGCTCACAGAAGCTGAATAGAATAAAGTAGGAATTAGTTGACTCAGATTCTAGATTCAGCTTTGCCTAATTATGTAATTTTATAGTTCTGCTAACATATTTAAGCAAGTCTGTATGAAAGTGAACTTCATTAATATCAGCCCTGAGAGTCTCTCTTCTCCTGCCTCCTACTCTTTTTAAAAGCCTGAAGCAGTTTCATATTGGTGGTACAGTCTCAAATAACATGAAACATGACTTTTTGAAAAATAGTATGAAATAAACAGGAAAAAAACATTTGTGAACATAGAACACAAAATCTTTCCTCTACTTATCTTCCCTTCAAGAACTCAAAAACATATCACATCTTCATATCAATAACTTTTTATTTTAAAAGAGGAAACTTCAGGAATTAAGAAAATCAATATGCTTAAGGTTCTCAAATTCTCTAATGACAATTGCTTTTATTGACTACAAATTAACTTAAAAGCTAGTATTTTTGAAAAGTTGAAACATTTGAACAAACCACTTCCACTAATTTTTTCTGATTATAAATAGCTCCATATGAAGATTACATAGGAATGATTAAAATTGACTCTGGTTTTAAAAGTAGTATCACCTGTGATGCCACAAAATAATGATGGGGATTTCCCTCTTCAACCATGGAAAGCAGACATTCTGATCCACTCACTGCATTCTTGAAATGGGAACAATTTCGAACCTGGCATTTTTGTGCAATCAGTTTTGCCCCATACAAGTCCTTTCCCAATGTTTCTAACTCTTTTAACACACACCTGAAAAAGAAAACATATCGACTGTTCACATAAAGTATGAAAAATAATACTCATATTTTTAAAAACTAAAACTATAACAATACAATCTGAATTTGTAATATGGTAGCCACAAATCATACAGTAGCCATTTCACTCTTAAAAGACCTGGAAAATCCATACACCAAGTAGAAAGAATAATAATAATAGTTAAAATTTACTGAGTGCTTATTATGGGCCAGGCAGCATGCTAATTGATCTTAACATAAATTCTTGCTTAATCTCAAAACAGTCCTGTGAAGTTTGGCAGCTTACTTTAAAATTATCCTGATTTCAGAGCATCTTATTCTGACAGATTTCAAGTAATATGCCCAAATTCAAATTAGTAAGTGGTAAAGCTGAAATGTAAATCCCAGTAGTTTGATAATAGATGCCTTGCACCAACCACAGCTGTTCTTCTATGTTCTTCTATTTCAAATAGCAATTGCTACACTTTCACAATATTTTCAGTTCAGAAAAATAAAAATACTCCAGTCATCAGGTTGTTGCAAAACAATTACTACTTCCTTTCAGTATGCATTTTCTTATTAAAATATGCCAATGTTTTTCCAAGTGTCATCTATAAAGGATTCATATCTGATATTACATTGTATTAATTTCTAGTTCCTTTCTCATCCCCAAATCTGCACCTCCTGCAGGAGTCAAATATTAGTATTTTAATAAACTCCGCAGGCACTTCATCCATCACACTAAAAAAGGGGGGGGACTACTGAGTCAATGATTTCTTCAAACCTAGCCAGTCCTTGCTAGACTCCCTTTGTCACCCCGTTAGTTTTTTGGCGGTTTTTTTGGTTGTTGTTTGTTTTTTTAAGAAAAGAGAGTTTGCTTTCTACGGTCATCAGTTGTGACCTCAATTTTGAGTTCCAGGCCCAAATTGCCAACTATTTATTGAATAAATCCTATAGATGGCCTGCCATCAGCTTTTCATTCACCATGTCTAAAATCAAACTACTTTCCTCCAGGGCTTGCTATCTCTGAGCTTATTATCTTCCTGGACACTCTGACCCCAGCCTATGTCAGCTGTTGGTGTCTATCTCAGTAATGTCTCCTTGCAGAACTCCTTAGGTTTCTCTGCTTTTCCTCTTCCAGGCTGAGAATCAGATTATTTCTTGATTGGACAACCACAAAACAGGTTTGCCTGTCTTCACTGTCTTGCTTCTCCAACATACCCCTCACACTGTTGCACTTATTTTTTCTGAAGGACAGTTGTCATGTCTGATAGCATTCCTCTGCTCTACTTCCTCAAATTCCGAAAACTCCTAATTTCTTCAACCCTGAATATGAGTAAACCTTCTAGATCTAACTACTAGTGGCAGCAAATACATTCCAAAGAAACACAAGTGATCTGATTTCTTAAAAACATAAACAGCAAATTTCAAATGGGGGGAGAGAACTATTAGTTTTTAAAAGGCTTGAGACATAGAAAACAAATGCAACTTATATACCTCATTTGACTTGTGACTTTAAAAAGACTTTTTTATCCCTTCATGATAAATACCCAAGAAGTGACTGAATAATATGCTTTAAAATAAAGTATCAATAAGGAGGGAGGGAAGGATAAATGACAGAAGGTTGTCCATGTCCATAATTGCAAAAGCTGGGTGGCACACATTTCATTATACTATTCTACTTTTGCGTATGTATGAAATATTCCAGAAGTTAAATTCTTTAGGAAAAAATGCTGTAGAATATTTCCTGCAGTACTTCTCAACCTTTTTTTTAGATCATAGCATTGTATTAAAAATGTTCACATTTCTATGGCACATGGTGATAAATGGGCAAGTTGCTTGTAGGCAGAAGCAACCAAGGACTTGTCTGGCAGCCCTGAAGGCTAAGGGGATCAAACATTTTGGGGTATCTATAACCTGTTTGAGGCACTGCTTGAGAAATTCTGAATATGGAAAGCTGTGTATGAAATAGTTATGTGAGAAAAGCAGGCCATTAACACCAGGTGCACAGTAAGAGCACATTCTTGTGCTTTGTGTGTATCTATAAGGAACTGAATGTATGGCACAGCACATGTCAACAGTGGTTGCTCTCTGATGTGGTATTACGGGCCATTTTAACTTTCTTCTTTCAAGTAAATATTTTTAAAAGTAGTATTCTACAATAAAAAAAAATACTTGCTAAGTTTCTTAGTAATAGTTCTTCATGGTCTAGCCTCAATTTACCTTTTTCCCAGCTTCATTTCCAACTATGCTCTGTGCCCTCATCTCTTTCCCAGGCACTTCCTAACTCCATTCCTTTGTTCAAAAGAACCTCACAACAAGGAATGACACTCGTCTCCTTTCTGCCACTCAAAACAGTCCCTCCCCTCAGACCCGAACGGTGCCTGGGCTCAAATGTTGTCTCCTCTACGGAACCTTCACGATTTCCAACCCCCTCCCATCCCCACCGGGTCCCACCCTGAGCGTCTGCACCCCGATGCAATGTGGAAGCGAGGCCTGGAGTCCAGCACACCTCCTGGCGGGTGCCATCGGCGCTTTCTTGGCCACCAGGGCGGGGAGTTTGTTCTGTTCCCCGAGTTATCCTCAGTGCCGACAGCAGTGCTTGGCACCGGGCTGGCAACTTAAAAAAGACAGACGGATAAACAAATGACCTCGGGCAAAGTTCCTCATCTCAAGTCCTGACTTACCTCTTTTTGGGAATCGAAGATGCTACCTCACAGAGCTTTCGACTGTTTTTGCTTAAACCAGGAGAAGCCATGCAAGCCACAGCACCCATTTAAAGGGGGTAGGTTTCAGATATCAATAAATGCTCTGCGTACCCTGCACCTCCTCATTTGATACCTCAGCGGCATTATAAGCAGTGAAGGTCTCTGTTTTTACAGATGAGAAATCCAAGGCTCAGAGAGGTTTAAAAACTTGCCCCAAATGACGGAGCTGGTAGGACTGCGACCAAGACTCAAAGTCATGTCGGACTACAGAGCACGTGGGGTAACGACTCGCGACTATTTCAGGGCGCTGTACTTTCCGCCTGCATTGTAGAGAGATGCCCCTGGCCTCCTCAGAGCCACCGCGCAACTGTCAACTCCCCGTGGCGGGGCGCCGTGCCCCTCGCGGGCTCTCCGTGGAGGCCCGGCCTCC